GAAAAAAATAAATAAATAAAATCAACTAATCTTCCATACAATATTTCCATGATTGGTAAAAAGAGAAGGAATATTTACGAACCACTGATATCTCCAAGAATTGAAAGCCAATTTTCAAACCTTTCCCGTCTTCACGTTGCACAACAGTAGCACAAGACCTGTAAAAGTTGTATTACTATTATGGTGAGGCAAAAGGAAAATGAAAGCAATAATTAAATTGACTTTAAGGACTAAAAAGATATCCCAGTCTTGGCGAACGCGTTCAAGTGATAATGATCGAAATACAAAAATTGGCTGCTTTAATTACTCATTCGGAGTCTTTATCTTTAGTGTAACTATTGGAAAACGTGTTTAACTTGACTATCCATGGGACTACATATTAATGTGCAACCAAAAAAACCACATCCATCTTCCATACAATATTGAAACCATAATCATGAGGGAAACATTCCATGCTATGCTTGTTCTAGTGGCTGTATTGTTCTTTGGAGCTGCAGAGTTTTGTTCTGGTCGGAACACGAGCTTAAGCTGTATAGAGGGGGAGAGAGAAGCCCTCTTGAAGTTCAAACTTTGTTTCAATGATTTATCTGATATGTTGTCTTCTTGGAAAGGCAATGACTGTTGTGAATGGAGAGGAGTAGGCTGCGATAAAAATAGCGGACATGTTGTCTCACTTCAACTCAGGGGATCCAGATCTAATCGATCTCAATTGCACTTGATTGATGATGTAGAGGAGGTTGTTTCAGGTTTGCTCAAGCTGAGATGCTTGGAATACCTGGACTTGAGTGGAAATAACCTCAACAGCAGCGTTATTCCGCCCTTCTTTGGTTTGATGAAGCAGCTAATCTACCTAAATCTCTCTTCTGTGAACTTCAAAGGAAGAATTCCTAGTGAACTTGGAAATCTTACGAGGCTTTGTGTACTTGATCTTTCCGACAAATTTTATAGGAGATTGAAGGTTGATGATGTTCAATGGATTTCTCATCTCTCCTCGTTGCAACAACTTGATATGAGTGGAGTAAATCTAAGCCATGCCTCATCAAACTTGTTCCAGGTACTTGGCATGCTTTCTTTATTATGATGGTTGAGTCTATCACATTGTAGTCTAAAAAATTCTCACTTACCATCTCGCAACCATCCCCTTAATTTTACATTTCTTGAAAATATTCAGCACTTTGATATTTCATGGAACTCTTTTCATGGTCTAATGCCTAGTTTTCTCAAAAGCATGACTTCATTGACATTTTTTTATATGAGTAGAGTAAATCTAAGCCATGCCTCATCAAACTTGTTCTAGGTATGGCATGCTTTCTTCATTATCATGGTTGAGTCTGTTAGACTTTAATCTAACAAGTTCTCACCTATCATCCTGCAACCATCCCCTTAATTTTACATTTCTTGAAAATTTTAGCACTTCGATATTTCAAGAAACTCTTTTCATGGTGTTTACACCTAAAATAAACCAATAAGGTAAGGCCACTTGTCAAGGTAAAGCCCAATCATCAAGAAAATCAATAGGCTGGATTTGGGCTGGGCTGGCTTACAATTTAATGGCCCAGACGGATTTCCAAGGAGGTTGGATCTTAGGTGGCAGAAGATAAGATTGGATCTGGTAGTTTAAGTTTGATTTAAAATGGGTAATTGAGGATTTTTAGGTAGTTATCTTTAAGGTTTTTGGAGATAAGGTTAAATAAAAATCGGATAACTATTAAATAACTGC